ACCCTCAGTAAGGGGTCTCCTAGAGCCTAAGGCAGATTACAGGGATCCCCAGGTGACACAAAATCCCTGGGCCCCCACTTGCCTGCCATTCCTCTGGCTGCAGAAGCACCATCAGCAGCAGCTGTTCCAATGCAGACACTTCCAGGTAAGGCAGATGAGCTCCCCTGCACCCACTTCTCCCTAACTGCTACTGCTCTTTTTATCTCTGCTCTTTTCCTTGCACTCCCTCTCTTGGATTCCTGGGTCAAACATGTGAAAGGGGTTAGTATGGGCTAAGGAGAAGGAACAAGATACCTCAGCTACTGTTTTGGACATGGATGCTGAACTTTTAGATGTGTACTAGAAACAAGGAGATACTGCCTTACAAAACTGAAATAATGGAACAATTCAGATGAGTGTGCTGCAGCTGAAGAAGGTACAGGAAGCTTTGTAAAACAATACAGAAAGATCAACCACTATTTCTCACACAGCTACTCAGATCCAGGGCTTATTTCATGCAATTACTCAGCAATGCACTGACATCTTAACAGAGAGCAAGCAAGGAGGCCCCAGGACTTGAAACCACAAACTGGCCAGGTGCAGGATCTGTGTGCTCCAAGAGGATCTGTTACACCAATTATCTACTTGGTGGCTTGAGACAGTCTTGCAGGAATTGTGCTTCACACACTATCCACAGCAAATCATTACTGCATATGGTATATATTTATTAACATTCTACATATGGATGAACTATACCCTTATACCCATATAATTCCAGGATTTTCTATGTCAAAACTATAGGAGGAAGAAAACAGGAATTCTTACTTTTGTACTTAAGCACTGGGTTGCAGCTGATCCTTTAGATAGGAGCAAAAATCCATGGTGCTCCATAGCCAAGCACAAGCATTTCCCAGACTCACTTGGACTAACTTTGATTTCTGCTACGTTTCATTGCTGGCAGTGGAACTGTGGTACCCACCCAGAAAACACTAGTGGTTTGAACATCCATAACTCACAAATGCCACATGCAGATGTGCTTTCACAGTTTACAACTCTGCTGAATTGCCTTCTCATAATTCAAGGAGTGCTCACACAGTTTCCACCGCATAGCAAAATTATTTCATAATAAGATAAGAATCTCTGCTGCAGCAGATGAAAAACATTTGTTTGGAATATTTCAGCTACACTGCAGATGAACAGCCTATTGCATTATGTATATCCTGATTACAGAAACCAGAGAATACAGTGGGCTCAAGTTACCCATGTTCTCTAGTCTTACTGGCAGTTTTGGATATTTGTTCTATTTTCCTACTGGAGCCCCATCTAATCTGGGAGATGACTAAGAAGACAGCAATTCAGACCAAGACAAATTTAAAAGCACAGGAAAAGAATCCAGGATATTTGTAGTAGGGCACATTCATTTTTAAAATATGGAGGAGCATAAACATTTTCTTTAAAAAAAATTTAAATCACATATATAGTTTAAAGGCTGACATCATCTAAAGGTATGAACATTGCAAGCAAGAACATAAATACATTAGATTATTAAACTAGTCCTGGCCAGAAGTGAAAAATTATGTTCCTCACTCTTGCAAAGATGTTGTGGGAAGGATGCAGCTACAAGATGTCCAGATCTCTACAGGGATAGGCTGAGTGAGCAGTTATAAGGAGATTTTGGATAAACACATGATCACTTAAACAATAGGACTGAAACAGCTGAATCCTGTTCCTGTGTTTGCCTTTGACTTGTTTCAAGGTTTCTATTTTCCAAGTCAATTAAGCTATTCCATTTAGTCAAAGTTTGATGTTAAAGTTCCAGTTGTTTTTTACTTCATTAGCAGTACTCAAAACCAAGAGGACTCACAGATGTTTTGGCAACATAAGGCTGATGAAAAATCCATGTAGTTAATGTCACTTATACTCCATCCCAAAATAATCAATAGGAAGATATTGTGCGTGTCTGGAAGATATTTCAAAGCCATCTCACTTATTGGGCACTTTTGTCTCAAGTATTTCTGAGAAGAATAGATGCAATTGACCTTAGCACCTTTTTTTCTGTACTGTCATGTCTCTGCTCAACAGACCATTTGTATCCATCTTCTCCTCACTCATCTATGACTCCCAGAGGTGAAGAGTGGACTTCCAATGAAAAAACTGCTATCTTGAACCTAAGTGGACTGAAACAAGTGTGGCAGCAGCATTTTGCTAAGTTAAGAGCAGTATTAAATACAGAAATGAGAAGGAACTGCCTGAAACTGCTCCAGAAGGAATTGCACAGGAGACCAGGATGACAACTGAACCTCAAAGAGTGGGTGCTTTTCAGCTAGGCTCCTCATAATGCATGCATTTGCAGCCTCTCCTTTTCCTGATATGCCAAACAAAGCATCTATTCAATTTACTCATTCCTCTGTACGGTTACTAGAAGCCACCAGGGCTATTGCCAAGGGGCAATGACAGCCAAAAGCTCTTGGTGTTCAAATGCAGCTGGTGGAGAACACGGTGCCCCTCACATCACAAGGCGTTGCTGCATTCATGAATGCAGCTGCTGCAATAAATGCACCCTAACTCCACCTTCCCCTGCACCACAGCAATCTCTGTGTTGTCTAACTAAAGCAGTCCAACCACCTACAATAAAAGCTGTATTCAATTTAGGGAGAAAAAGTATCAAAATATACCAAAAACTCTTCATCCAAAGCATTGCATCACCTTGACCACTCTATTTTGACCTCTATTGCTACAAGAACCCTGTTGTGTTATCTTTTCTGCCTGTTCAGAATTCCTATTTCCTTCACAGCATCTTACTAAACAGAGTGCATAGTGGAGCTGCCAAATACAAATACATGTATTTAACTTAGCAAGTAAAAGAGGGAAGTAAAAAGAATAGAAATTGTCTTTAAGGAAGGAATTAGCATGCCTACCAAAAAAAAAAAATCCAAACAAGTCCACAACAACAAAACAAACAGCTTCAGCCTAGTTCCCCCTTCTGGACTTTCTACCATATCCTGATTTTTTAAATACCATCTGCCAGAAAGGCAAGTTCCTCAGATGTGATATCGGTTTCTTAGGGTTTTTCTCCATTTACCAGCAAATCATGGAAAATCTTCCTCCACAATTTAAGTCACTAAGCCTCATCCATCTTGTTCTTTAAAACACTATGGAACTGTTTGAGTATGGGATGCAATTTGACTGAATTCTTCTGATACGATCTCTGTGTGGACACAGTATAAAGACCCTTTACACTGGTAGAAGTTTGTTCCTTCTCATGCTGATGTACATATATTTAAATGTGCCTCAAAGGGCTTCTAAACCAAGAGAGTATACAAAAGAGTGAACTGCATTTGTGCTGCAAGGACTTTGACACTAAAATAAATTTTTTAAAAGCCCAAAGAAAGGGAAAAAAAGTAGCCTCACTAAAGGAATTCAGTTTGATTCAGCTGTTCTAAGCTTGACCTTGCAGTTGTGGAAAGTTAGAATCTCCACCTGCATTTAAATTCCTGCAAGCAGAGAGCTCTGCTGCCCTAACTAGCAGCTCTCAAAAGTTGAATGCATCCATCTTTGGTGTTTGCAGCTGACAATTGAACAGCATTTTCTATAGTGTGTACACTGACCCTCATTTTCTGTTGCTTGTAACCAGGCCTTTTCAGAAGAGTGACTTTTCTCCTATCTTGGCAGAGACATATGGCTTATTACAGCAAACCAAGATAACAACTTTGATGTTTCAAAGCTCAGATTTTTTTTTCTCTTATCTAAGTAAAGAAGGCCTTTTTTCCCCAAAACCATATTGGGAAGATACATTAATTTCTACCCTTTTGTCACTCAGCGAAGAGCACAAGGAGCTATGATCAAGTTTTTAAGTTACCTCCTGGGAGCTCCTTTGAAAACTCCTAGTTTGATTACTAGAGTGTTTGTACCAAAGCAAGAAATAGCTGCCCTGCTCCACTCATCGGAGGGAGGGCAGCAGGGAAGAGTTTATGAACTGTAATTACCAGCTTACCCACTCAGGCTCCTTCCTAAAGCAGGAATCCCATTCATCATCCTCTTTTGTGCTACCGACTCCTTAAAAGGCCTACTGAGCTTTAACTCCCGGGTATCCCACCACAGCCAGGCTCCCCCAGAGCCCACGCCAGGGCTACCTAGATGGATTTCAAAGGGAACATCGCGCCGCTCGCCTGCCTTATTTGGAAAACCCCAACTCTGCACGGCTTGGCACAACCTCAGCGGCCGCGCAGGGCTTCGCAAACCTGGAGCTCTGACAGAGATTTAACGAGAAGGAACCTCACATTGCAATGAACTCCCAGCACCAGCAAGAAACAGAAATGAGAATAAAAAGAGAGGGCGGGCTGACAAGAGCCGAGCGAAAGTTGTCGAGTTAAAAACAAGCCCAAAAGGGCCCAGCGAGGAGCCCTCGGGAGGGCTTTGCGCCTGTTCGGCGTAAAAATGTTAAGGAAGGAGGAAAAGGAAGGCCGGGGAGCGAGCGAGGGAGCCGGTCCGACCCCGGCGGGCGAGGGGCCGGTGGAGCGGGGACAGCTGCGGCCGGCACCGCGGACACCGCGGCCGCACACGCTCCTCCGGCCGCGCTCGGGCGGGCAGGGCGGGGGCGGAGCGGCGCCGGGACGCCCCTGCACCCCCGCGGCGGCCGGGAGGCCTATGGGGGCGCGGCGCCGCCGCCAGAGCGCCGGCAGCCCCTCCCCGCCGCTGCCTGCGGGAGTGGGAATAAAGACAGATAGCGGGGCAGGCACCGGCCGGGCGGGCGGGACGGAGCGCGCACAAAGTTTCCTGCGGAGCCCGCGGGCGGCGGCAGCGATGCCCGTGCTGCGCGGAGCGCTGGGGCTGCGCGGGCGCCGCCGGCCTTAGGGGAGCGAGAGCGGCGCGGGGCGCGGCAGCGAGCCCCCGGCCCGTCCTCTCCTCCGGACGGCCAGGAGGAAGCGCCCCGGGCAGGGACGGGAGAGCGGCACTGCCGGAGCGCGGGGAGGGGGACCGGCACCGCGGGGCCAGCCGCGCCGGCGGAGCCGGGGGGAAAGATGAGCTTGTTGTCAACCATCGACACCAGCGCCGCGCCCGTGTACCAGCCCGCCCAGCTCCTCAACTGGGTCTATCTCTCGCTGCAAGACACGCACCAGGCCAGCGCCTTCGATGCCTTCAGACCCGAGCCCTCCTCGTCCCAGCACCCCGACCTCGGCTACACCAAGAGCACCCCGGAGCTGGGCTCCTCACTCAGCTCCAGCTATCTCAACAGCTTCTTCCAGCTCCAGCGGAGCGAGGTGAGTCCGCCGCGCCGCCCGGCGCGGAGCCCCCGGCCCCCCCGGGCCACAACCGCCATGATGCCTCGGCAGCCTCCTGCCCCTTCCCCGGGCCGGCACCGAGCCGCTCCAAGCGGGGCAGCCCCGCTCCCCGCCGCGCACGCCGGGGCGGCTCGGCCACCCGCGCAGGCTCCTTGTCCCGGCCGGCCCCTTCCCGCCCGGCGCTCCCTCGCTGCCCGTCCCGCTAACGGGCCGGGGCGAGGCGCCGCCGCCGCCGCGGCATTGGCGCGGCCGCCGCCTCCTCCCGCCGCCCGCCAGCGGCGCGGGGCGCCCGTGTTGACAGTCTGGTCAATGGTTACACGGATTTCCCGTGCGCAGCCGGAGGGACGGGGGGCAGGACGCGCAAAAAGTGCTACATCCGTCATAACGTGCAAAAGTGCCACCACCACCGCCGCCACCCCCCCTTTTAGTTTTTTTTTTTTTCCGAAAGCGTTACTTAAAAAACTTGATACGAGACTACATATGGCTTATGAGAGATCAAAGGCAGGCACTATTTGAAAGGAAGAAATATAAACAGGAACGTGATACAAACAGCAAAAAAGTTTTGTGCACGTTTTGTAACGCAAAACAAGTCTAAATGTAACCAAAGGGAAGGAAGCTAAAAAACTGGGATATGCAAAGACAATTCACTGTGGAACTCCCTGTCGCAGGAAGTTGTTGAGGTCAAGCACTTCTGCATTGGAGGGGTTTCACATGTGTGGAGATACTGCAAGGTGGCACCTCACACACCACAGCTCCCAGCCTCTCCAGAAAAGACCCAGCTACACTTTGGCACCCCACTGTGGGACTCTTGCCGGAGGCATTCAACAGCGGCTTTCTTTGATATGGTCAGATGGACTATACATCCCAACCTGCTCTGGCACTTCCCACAGAATGACATTTCAAAGTCCTTCCAGCACCTTTTATGTTAAACATCGACTTTAAATGTATTCTCAGTCAAAGTACACCCTTCTCTTCTGTCAGAAAAGTTATGGAGTTATTAATTAAAACTAAATCAAATTCCCCAAGTGCTCTCATAATAGAGCTGCTAACAGTTGAGAACCAGAGTTATATAGACACGTTTTCCTTTAATTAGACATTTTTTCTTCTTTAAGAATTTAACAAAGCACATCCAATCTCAAAATAGATACTATTTTTGAGACTATGTGGCTCAAAACCCATTCAACCTGATTAAGTCTTATTAAGCATGACATGACATGGGCAGTTCAACAACATATAGACCTAACAAGCACATTGATTTTACAAAAAGATTAGCAGGCAGTGCAATTTAAACTATTAGCTACCTACCTGTTGATGACAAATTGTAGATTTTACCCCTTCCTGCTTGGCTTTCAAGCTTGATGTTACCCAGGTAGCAGCAAGCCTCCAGGAGTTCAGCCAGCATGGATTCCAGATTGGGACATCAGGCCCCGCGTTTGTTGAAAGTGGGATACATTCTGCTCACAGCAGGTCCTTTATTTTTTGGGAGAAAAAGGAAGAAACAAGTCTGCATTCAGGAAGTCTTTGAAACAGTCTCTGAGAAACAGTTTTCTCTTCCTGACAGTTCCCCAAGTTCATTTTCGGCTTCTACTATACTCTGTGCAAGTACGGGGCTAATCCTTTTGTCACACTCCCTTTCCACTTGGCTCATAGTTCTTTCCATTTTCTCCCCTAACCTTTCTTCTGGAAAATAATTTGCCTGCTATGCCAGGCCTTCCTCAGGCCCTTGTCTCTGCCCCAGCTCAAAGCAGTCAGTCCCTGTGCAGCCTCCCCACAGCTGTGCTGTTTTCAGATCCCAGAAGTCACCTTCTGTGTGGATTCCTATCATCCACAAGCTTTATTCTGCTCTTTTTAACATCATTACAGTTTCCTGAGGCACAAGAACAGCAGCAGCAACTGAGAATTCCATCTCTGTAGAAAGCCAAGAGCATTCACCATTCAGAAAATAAGAAGCCATTTCATTCTATGCAGCTGTTTTATTATTTTTAAAAGATGAAGCATGTTAGTTTGTTGCCATTCATTTTCCAGCCTGTGACGATAGCTTTGACTATGTGGCTGATGGAGACACTTCTATGTTTCCAGTATTCACCTCAACTGTGTCTTAATACATGGTAACCTGAAAAGAGGGCATGGAGCACAGCTATCTCCTATGGCATGGGAATGCATCTGCCCTGCTGGAAGTAGGGAACCCTCTAATTTCCCAGGCTAGCACTGCCTGCTTATACAGCAGCTTTCATTCAAGGCTTTAGAAGGTGCTAGAGATACTGTTGCTCAAAAGAAGTTCTGCCAATATGTTAGATGCTCTGTTCTTTCCAGAAACAGGAAACTTGGACTGCTTTTTGGCAGGAGTCACCCAAGAGTTTCCGACAATGTCATGCCCCTAATTCTTGAGATTCTAACATCTGTTTATTTGCAGATGCCATTGGGTATGCACTACACATTTCAACCACATAAAATTATTTTGGAGAGCATTAGTACTGTATGCTGTTTCTGCAGCAAGTGGGCTTATGCTATCTTTGGAACAACACATAGCTTTCCACAGTCAAACTGTTGACTGTTTTCTACAAAGTGCTTGCTTTGGTTGGCATTTTTTTCCCCCTCACGGTTTTGTCCTGGGTTGGCTTAGCCTGGAGCCGAGCTGTGACAATGATTGACACATAGCTGTACACAATATTTGGAAAGTGACCTAATGAGGGTCCAAAATAGCAACAGATTGAAAAATGATAGGATCATAGGCTGTAAAATAGTTGTGTGTCCTGTATGTTGCCTTGCAATTGAAACTTTCTGGAGAAGAACACTTGGAATAAGAGACAGCACTTGTGAAAAGTTGCTATTATACAGGGTTTGCAAGTCTGCATGGCACTGCCTGTGTATGTGACTTGCATACTGACCAAAGGAACAGGACAGAAAAAAAATAAAAGTGCCAGCACCCACAGAGTAGTCTTGTACTTCAAGATTTTTGTCCTCCAGACTTTTTCCACTACAATGGATGCCTTCTAAATAAACATGATGAACACAGCTGTTTGGTGAATAAAAGCCCATTGTACCAAGAAAAAAAAACAATAATAAAGGTTTAAACAGTAAAGCAACAATGAGTGTTTTGTTCTGTATGCAAGACTCGTTTTGCAAAACAGACCTGCTTTAAACCAAACTTTATGGCAGCATTTGTTGTCTTAGATATGAAATAAAAGCATGTTAGACCATTAAGATGCAATAAATTGGCCATTGAACAGAGCTCCACCCTCATTATAACACCATCCATCAGAGCCAACTATTTGAGGTTTTGGTGTGAGGCTGGTTACAGGGAATTTAATGCCTTTGAGACACAGCCAGGTATCTGTGGCTTTGTCATTGAGGGTTATAGTTGAACAACCTAGACTAAGGGGGCAAGAGACCCATAAGGTATTTTTCTACACTAACAGGAGGCATCCTACCAGGTCAATGCTCTCTTTGGTCAAGCAGAGACAGCAAGCAGTAACTAGAAATTATCATAATATAATAGTTAAATTTTTTCTCTGCTCTGTGTCTTTCAAGAGCAAAATTCCTTCTAGAAGCCTCTATGGCAGCCACTTTCTGGATCTAAATCAGATTTTATTTAAGCACAAATAACTGCATACTAGATGAGAAAATAATCACCATTTTCATGTTTATGAATTGGAGACTTCCAGATCCAGTCCTTATAGGCAAGAGGGGAACTAACTGGGAATGAGAGCACACCAACTAGTTCAGTTTGCTTCAATAATGTATGGATCACTTGTTTGGAAAAAAAAAATGTGTGGAGTTAAAAAAAGTTCACAGAATGCTGTGGAAAATTACATTCCAAATCCCTGTGAAACAAACAAGTCTAAAGCACTGGGATAGATTAGGTAACTTCCCAAAGAAGATAGTGACATTCACAAGCTAACAACAGAAACTGATGAAACACTGGAAGAACAAAAACATAGGGAAGGAAATTGGCAGTTCTACAGAAAACGTATTTTATCAAACTTGTTGTCCGTCTGTCTTTCATAGAATTAGGGGGCTACATACTAGGCTGATACTTGATGAAGAAATATCTGTTATTTGGCCTAGATAATGATAAGATTTAAAAAAATTTCAATTCTGTTAGCATCAGAAGAATACAATGATTGCCATACCACATGAGGCCATTGGTTCCCTGAATTAAGTGCAGTATCTTTGAGAACAGCCATGATTAAAAGATTTTAAAGGGAAAACCAAATGCATTTTAAGAGGCTGCTCACAACCAGTATGGTCTGAAGGCAGACTCAACAGAGAGGCAGGTTAGCAGAAATTGCCATATGTTCCAAAATGTGTCCAATTTGTTTAATTTTGTGTAACATTGTTAGTAATTGTAACACACAGCATGCTTTTGATCCACAAGGTGCTTAATGTGCTAGGCATTCCAGTGAGGACTTCTTGCTTTCTCAGCTACAGACTGACAGAGTAGCAGTCTATGGTACCTGATATGTCCTTTAATAATAATGATTACTATTTATTTCCTGATTTTAATTTTTTCCTCAATATTCTTTGTGTAAGTACCAACATTGGAGTGCTCTTAACCTTCCCCAAATTTTATTGAAAGGGCACTAGCATAACAATCCCTGTGTTGCAGGAACTGGTGCTCTCTGCCTCAGATGATTGTACACTACCAATATTTTGTGGCTACTCAAAGTGCCAGACAAGTAATTCCAAAATGCTTTTCAGGAAGTTAAATGCCAATTCTCACATCAGACCTCCTAAGAGATTCCAGGGAGCTGAATCTCTTACATTAATCAGAGGACAACGTGCATTTGGAGATCTTGGCAGGACCAGCCTCTGTCCTCCTGACACAGCCAGCTCCAGAGCCCTTTTGATGGTGCTGCCTCAGCACACAAAGTGCAGCTTTCACAGCCCACTGTACACTGCTCTCAAAATCTTAGATCCCGTTGCAGGTATTTGAGCTAATAACTATTCTGTTCCTAATTCCAATTGGACATATGCTT